TAAAGGTATGAAATTTGCATTTAAGGTGCTGTTTGAATTGAGGTTCTAACAAACGAGTTTTATTGCAAACTATAATTTTATTTTTATCTCAAGGTTCTTGTTAATGTCGAGTTTTCATTTTTGTTCTATTCATCAAACATCTTACTACCCTTTTATCTCAAAGAGAGCATTCTAAATTCATATCACATAGCTCAGTCATTTCTCAGAATGGTCATAAAAATAATAACGTATTGTTTGGAAATTATGTATTGTAAAACATAAAATTAAACGATATATCATTACTATTAATCTTCATTTTTTAATATATATATATATCTATTTTCTCGCGCTTAATATTAGGTTTTAAAAATTTAATGTATAATTGTGCTGCTTTTAGGAAAAATAAAAAAAAATTAAGATTAATTATTAATTATTCATGTTTATTATAGGTTTTATTCTAGTATAGTAAATTCTATTTGAAAATGACCTTCGCTTGATAAAAAATCCGTTTGTTAATTTCGAGAGCAACTGTAAGGATAAAATTTTAAAAATAGAACAGTTCATTAACATGGGTGAGGAAATGTAAATGGAATTGTCTGGTAGTTTATGAACTAAGTATAAATTGATTAAATGGTTACAAAAGATTAAATTGCGAAAACTTGCTCGTAGAATGTATTAACAAAGAAATTCGTAAGCTTTTCCCCAGTGTCCCACCTTTCCGCATTAACTGTATCCCCACCTTTCGGTATTCCTTAATTTTATTAAAAATTTATTTACAGTTACATAAATATTTTCCTTATAAAGTATGATGATCTATATAGGTACTACCTGTAACATAGATGTCGTTTTTCTGAGATGTTTTTCAACTTTCCTCCAGTATTTTAGTAAAATTATATTTTTCCAGAAGAAATTCTAACCCTTATTTAGTATTTATTTCAAACATTTGCATTGCTTTTCGTTTATTTTATCTTTTAGTAAATCTGAAAAGGTCACGTTTGAAACTAAATTAAAATGTTTCAAAGAACAACACCAAAACGCTTCACACTTAGTTAGAAATTTCTCCGAAAAAATGGTTAAATAGCAATTTACTGAATGGTTATTTTACCATGTTCAATCAAAACAGTAAAATAACCATAAATAAAATAGTAATCAAACCGTTAAATTTGAGAAAAACTGTTTATTAACTGCTTTAATCTAATACGGTTAAACAACCAAAATTTAATCGCACCAACTAGAACCGCCTAATCAAGCTACTTATTTCTTTGCAACTGCGTACATATCATAGCCGAGCGGGCTTATCTGCCAATCTCATGACCAGCAGAACTGAAGTTCGAGTCCTAGTGTTGACATCACAAAATTTCCTCCATTCCCTTCAACACATAAAGAGTTTTCAGCATCCGGAACTCTCAAATGCCCATTACCTTATAAAAAGCCGAATTCCAATGTCTAGTTAAATTATTATTATTTTTGCGTTTTTGAAAAATGCTAAATGTAAATGGTTAAGAAACCGCATAGTTTTGTATTCATGGTTTTATTATCATACTTTTTGTAAATGGTTTCAAAACCATAAAGGAAAAAAAATGTTCTTTACCGTAAACTTTACGGTTACTCGGATGGACAGACAGCTGCAAGTTATTTTACCATAATTTTCGAATGAAAATTATAAAAGTGCATATATTACTACTAAAATGCTATAATTTAATGTTAACATCATAAAAACATTTATAAAATCCTTCAGAAGTTATAAAATGTTTTGAGGATTAACATACTTATAAAACATTACGATTACGTTTTGTACTGCGAATTTTATTTTGTACTTACGCATGTTACAATTATAGAATTTTATGCATCGATTTCAAACTATTTTCTTAACTGTATTTTTTTTTCAAAAATAAATTATAATTCAAAACATTTAAAAAGACGTGTCCAACATTCTTTTCTAAAAAAATAAATTGTTCAAAAAATATTCCTTCGATAAACTAAAATAATAATTTTATATTTATCAATATTTTTTTTTCAATTAAAAAATTTATTCGTGTCTTTAACAAGTACTAGCTGGAAGTCAATTCAAATCCTTCATTTTATAAAAACGAAATTGTTTTTAATAACCATCTTAAAACTATTATCTTATGTGTTTCGTAAAATATTAAATTTATTATTAAAGCTTTAACCTCAACTAATGGAGTAATTATTTTCATTCATAGCAGTGTTATCATATTTTATTACCATTCATAAATAGAACTCCGTGTAAAAGAAATGTTAATTTTTCATATTTCCTAAGAAATATTGCGCTTTTCATCTAGCTTTCTGCCTAAGGGAAGAAATAAACATGAATAATAATACTCCCTTTCGCACTTAAAGAAAAAATATCAAAGCTCAGGAAATTTGTGATTTTGCTTTGAAGAGCTTTGCCAGAAGCTTTGAAAAGATTTGCTTTGTAAAGAATTGTGTGATATTACACCATCAAGGTTATGAAGCAATCGGGAATTAAAAGAAAGAAAAAGTTATGACTATAAGCTGTAAGTTATCACCATTATCTTATTCTTTATTGCATTGGAAAGGAAATGTAAGTTTCAATAAGTATAATAGAATGATTCTTATTATTTAAATTTTTTTGTTAAAAACGTAAATATAAAACGTTTTACTTGCCAAAATAACGTGCATCTCACACTTTATTACTACATCAATTCAAAATTTAAAGGAATATCGTAAAATTTCAGAAAGACTTGGGTTAGAAAGGTCACACTTTTTCTTAACTTGAAGCTGTAATATCAAGCTTTTCCTTAGTATTGTTTCCAGGTAAGTGCAAGTTACCGGATATTCAACTAGCTAATAGTATAACAAATAGAAGCATCTTATTGTCTACATTTAAATCATGGTGTATTTCACCAATAAACACTTTTCCGGATAATTTAAAAATGTTGATTATTATTAAACTGGCCAACGTATTTGAATTAAACATTTTCCATTAAAACGTGTATCAATTAGGATCTGTGTCTGACTTAGAAGTTTTTACCAAGATTTTATAATAATACCATTGTTTGAGGGAGCCAATCATTATTTGTTTGCATGAACATTGTAGAAAATCATTTTAGTTTCGAGTTTGAAAATGTTTTTTCTAGAATTACACTAAAAAATTAAGAGGTTTTTAAATTATGGAAACAAATAACTGTAGAATTTAATATTAAAAAACGAAGACTTGAGACATTTATAGAAATCTTAAGTTGGTGCATTAAATATATTTTGTAGTTTCAAGCTTTTTTGGTTCAATGGCTAATTCTTAAATTATTAGTTAGTGACAGGAAAAATATGAAGGGATTTAACAGATACCGGTACAATAAAGTATAGAATGCGGATAATTTCCCAAATGATATCTTATATCTTGTCTAAGCCCATTTACATTCTCCTTAGACATTAAAGAAAATTATCAAGCTAAAAGGATAGTACCGTGAATACAATTACGATTAAGTGAGTATAAAAAAAGTAATACTAAAAGACCATTATTTGGACTTTTTTAGTTTATTTTCCCATTTATAGATAATGCGACATTATGCATCCTTATTCTTTCTTGCGTCTAGAATTAAGAAGAAAAAGTTTGAAAGGCAATTTAGGAGTTTTTAGCTTTTATCTGAAAAAGAAAAAAAGCTAGTCATAATCTTATTTCCATAAAATAAAATTTAAAAAACTGTTTGTGTGGCAAAATGCAGTAACCGTACACTTTTTAAGTATCCTCATTTAAAAATCCGTTATTAAATTGTTTATTTTTTATTTAACTTCTTTAAAGATGAATACACATAGTTAAATCAATCTCAGAAACGTTTCTGGTTGCAATTCGTTTTTCGAAAGCTCTTAGCGGTGTAATTGCCTATTTAGCCTGTTTTAACTATATGATCATAGGGATTCTTACATTTTTAATTGAAACTTTTTCTTTCAAAATTTAATGTTTTAGAATATAATGTGATAAACATAGGAACCAAAGCGCTTTATTTAAGAAAAATATTGCTATGAAATTTCTAATATTCTCCACATTATTCTATCTAAACATCGAACAGCGAACTTATTAAGGTTCATTTTTTAATGAGGAAAAATGGTCTTGATCCTTTTTTTTTCTCTGTTTTAACGCTCCAGTCACTGCTTTGTAATTCTATATTAGATTAATATAATGAAGTGTTTTATTTCGCAAGAACTGGAACCTGTTTTACTGAACTAATCTTAAACGATATTTTACTCGGTAGTTGAGGGGATCAAAAAATATTAAGTAAATCTGAAGAAAATGGAAAAAAATCAAAAATAAAGGAAAGATTACTGAGAAGTTATCTTGGGGTTTTGGTGACCCGTGTTTACTTAAGAAATTCAAATTCCTGGAACAAACTCGTGAAATTTTCTTTGTGAATAATTATTCAAAAACTATGCCATTAAATTAAAACTTTACATGTTAAATTAAAACTATATATCTGTACTATTATTTTCTTTGACAATTTAATGTTTTAGAATGTAATGTGATAAATATGGGAACCGAAGCACTTTATTTTTAAAAATATTGCTATGAAATTTCAAATATGCTCCACATTATTCTATCTAAACATCTAACAGCGAACTTATTTAGGTTCATTTTTTAATGAGGAAAATCGTCTTGATCATTCCTTTTTCCCTGTTTTAAAGCTTCAGTCACTGTTTTATAATACTATACTAGATTAATATAATGAAGTGTTTTGTTTCGCAAGAACTGGAACCTGATTTACTGAGCTAATCTTAAACGGTATTTTACTCGGTAGGTGAGTGGATCAAAAAATATTAACTAAGTCTGAAATAAAAAGAAAAAATCAAAAATAAAGGAAAGATTACTGAGAGGACATCTTGGAGTTTTGGTGACTCGTGCTTACTTAGGAAATTCAAATTCCTGGGGGGAAAAATCGTGAAATTATCGTTGTGAATAATTATTCTAAAACTATGCAATTAAATTAAAACTTTACATGTTAATTTAAAACTACATATTTGTATTATTATTTTTTTAATTTCAGGTCCTGAAATGACTGACTTTCCAATTGGGAAATTAAGAACGAAGAGATCTGTTTCTAAAGAATGGAATCTGGAAGTGATGGTTGTTGCTGACAGTAAAATGCGAAAATACCACGGAGACAATTTAGAAATGTATATTCTAACATTAATGGCCTCAGTAAGTTTATCAAGTTTTAAAATACACATATAGTATTAGATAACATTAGCTAGAAAAAATTGTTTAATCAGATAGATAGTATTTATAATTCTTAAAATAACCATTAAAATTGACATTTATTAGTCCACAATATTTCATATCCTCCTTAATCAAAAGTCTCAGCTCCTGAAGCTACTCTGAAAGTCTATATTTGAAAGATTCATGAAAGATTAATGAAATGTTAAACTGAATTCTATGTTCAACTAGCGAAAGTTTTATAGACAAAATATAGTTTCCGCTACACTAGCGGTCAGCAAGACACATGTGATACCTTCCAATTCAAGAGCGGCTTGCTTTTGGGATAAGTGCGGGTGAGCGAGGTTTTAAAGCACTGTTTGTCGACTACTGAGCTAAACAAAATGAATGTTATTGATGGTTAAAGAACATGATTAAAAACATAATTGTGATGGAACAGAATTTTGAAAAATTATAATCCTTAAAGATAAATTATATGTACTGTTACTACCCTTGAAAAATATCCCTGTTTGCCGTATAACGAAGAGTAATCCTGTAAAAAGTACAGGTTGTCGCGAAATAAGTTATTCTTTATGGAAAACACAGGTTTTTAATCAAAAATAGTAATTTTTTTATTGATTAATACAGTTCGTAAAATGTAGAGGGAAGTATAGAGCTAGTATATTGGGCAAATGGCATCCGCTGCTATGCTGGCACGCGAGCACATTTTTGAAAGATATCCAACGTAATTGTAACATTAATTTTATTGTTACAGCTCCACAATTTCTTCCCTCGAGGTATGGATAGGAGACTGTTGGTATACTCTAAACATTTCTCTTCAAAAAAAATCTAAGAAAAAGGTCATCGCTGTTAAATAGCGTGATCAACTAATTTTGATCAACAAAACAGAAAATTACACGTCCAAAGAATCTCTTAACAAATCTTAAAAAATAAATAAATAAACCCTCAACAATTAAAATGCCTTTGTTTTTCGTTTAGAGCTCCAGTTTTATAAATCCTAATCTGTCAACTGCCCAGATGTCTTTTTCCTTTTCCTGGCAATATTAATTTCATAAATAACACGAAAATCAAATCTTGCGTGAATTTTAAAACACCCTTTACTGTGTACCATCTATTTCAAAATATTTTAATGTTGTGCATTTTTCATCAATCTAGGTTTTTTCTAATACTATGGCAGTTATGGGATAAAGGGATGAATGGGAAATGCTGAGAAAAATTGAGAAGATTAAAAAAAGAGTTCATCTAAGTTCAAATTAATTTCATATTAAATTAACTTAAAATTAATTATAAATGAAAAATAGTAATATTCTTACGTTGGAAGTGAATTAAGCAAATCTATGATTTCAACATTAGCACTTTTTTTTTCTTTAGTATTATATTTCATACTTCATATTTTATAACTTAATGCCAATCTAGATATCGGATCTGCGTATTTCGTTAATGTTGTAATTTTCACGAGAGGACTGGGAAATTTTTTAGTCAAGTAGCTCAAATTTAAGTTGAACATTGAAAAGCTGATTTCCTTTATGTTAGTAAAATATGCATAAAAAATATGAAACGGGCACAAAAAAAAGGAAGCAAAACTCTTTTACGTTGAAGAAACTCATGAAGCAATAACGTCTGACCATCAATCGAAAGCTGGATTGATTATTGTCGTACTTTCCGTTTTGATACTTGACTCAAACGGTGAAAATATAATCTGGAAAAACTACCGAATTGTATGGTTATAGCATTTCTGGTGAATAAAACCACAATGTACGGTATTTATACTGTCCGTTTGTTAATTTTTCTGTTCATAAGCTAAAGGTTTACCTGAAATTCTGATTTTTGAAATTCTAGTTTTATTACGTCCTATTTAGTAAAAATTAGAAAAAATAAAAATAACTTAAACCGATTAAATATTTTGATACCACGCTCTAAAGTATCACGGTAAAACTACCAAATTTTACCACATTGATCAAATTTTATCACATATTATAAAGCCATATTTTGTCATAATTTTATCAAAAACACTATCAAAGCACTGTGCTAAAAATTACCAATTCCTTTGGTGTTTCTATAGAGACAGAAACACAGTAAATTTTGCAATATTCCGGTAATTTTGACCAAACATTATTCTCAGTGCACCAGTTTTCTTGTTTTCCCGAAATTACTTTAAAATACATAATCATTCAATTTCTTTAATTAAAAATCTGAAGGTAGTATTTAGTTTACAAGTTGGTGCTGTATTCATGGTATGCTAACTACTTGGGAAAAATAGCTCATAAGATCTGATAAATGGCTGTTCCAAGTAATTATAATGCTCCAATTGAAAACCAATATAATTTATAATTTTGAGATAAAAATAGTTGAATAGCAAATTGAAAACCAAAAATAAAATATTTACATTTATTTTGCTATAAAGAAAAGCAAATTTGTGCTGTAATTTTAATGTTTATTTTACGAAAAATTACTAATTGAGTTTTAATTAATTACTAAATTGTCTTCACATTTTATGGGAGTTACAATTTCTTATGATAACCAATTTTCGCAATTTATCAACGGATTCTATTTTTAAAAGTTTATATCATACACATTAGGCATTAAACGAAAAAAATTTAAAACTCTGAAGTATTAATTAATTTCAATACATTCAAAAAGCTCAAGAATTTTAAAACCAATTAAAAAAAACCTAGAGCACAAAATAAAAATTAATAAAATACGGGAAAAAAGACTACTGTTCGAAGTACAAAAGTTTTATCTGCATTAATCTTATTATTAAGCAAAGCGCCAATTATTGAGCCAAAAAAATTATATTTAAAAGAATACATATATATTATTCTAGTTGATTGCAAACTCTTTCCCCGCCATTTTTAATGCAGTTATAGAAAGCTAATCTAGCATATAAGATTGAAATTTCAGCACCATAAATGGTTGTTGAATGACTCTTTCTGGCTTATTAAGTAAATTACTTTCGCCCTCATTATATTTAATGAGAAACTTTTTCAGAAAGCAACGTTTTTGTAAGTGGCGCACTTACCTAAACATACGCTAACTTAAATCTTTGAAAAAAGTGTTTCCCTTTAATAAGCTACGAACTTACTTTATCAACTTAAAATCTTTTGACAATTCTGAAGAAACTTTTAACTGCCATTTGCTATATGCCTTATTATGACAGAAACTTTTATGTTTTCGTAAAAGTTTTATTGATTTTATTTTTACGCTTAATAAGTATTTTCACGCTCGAAATGACAGAGAAGTTTTTTTTTACAAAGATTGTGGAAAGTACGTTTTTAATTTTGTTCAAAAGACTAACAATAAGACAATATATGAGAATTCTAATAATAATATATAACAATAAAATAATTCTAACAATAAAAAATATAAATTGTATTGTATTCATTTAAATGTGGAAAAAGAATAATAGCTTTTCAAATTCAAAAATATACCCTTCATTGGAGCAATAAAATCCAAATTTGCAAAAGTTTTTTTTAATTATTTTTTTTTAAATTTCAATTTTCTTAATTTAAATCATTTTTTTTGCACAATTGGTTTCAATTCACTATATTGGAAATTTAATATTAACAAAAACTGAATAAATACACAATTGGAAACTATATTAAGAATCAGTGCATAAAAGCTGTTTTTGATTTTTAGGAGAAAAATGATAAAAACAAAAGCGTAATATTACAAAGAAATGATACAAAGAAATGATCGATAACTAGTGTTTCAGAAAATATTCAGCAATATCTTACAATAAATACTGTCTTGATCACAAAGAAAATTTGTGTTTAAGTTCTAAACTTATGAGTACGAAAGTGTTACCAAAATATTGCAATATAATCCTATTAATTTCAGCCAATCTTCATCAAATTATCATGTTCTTAGACTAAATAACTTTTCAATAGCAATAACTTAGGAAAAAACTTGTTTCATAAATTAGCATTTATATAAGCAACATTATTTGCTATTTGATGCGAAATATATTACATTTAATTAAAAAAAAATTGAGGTAATGTCTTTTATTTATAGGTTGCCCGTATTTACAAAGATCCTAGTATAGGTAACAACATAAATATTTCTATTGTGAAGTTGATCATAATGTCGGAAGGAGAGGTAAGTCGAATTACTTTATATTATTTTAATTAATATAGTCTGGAATATTTTAGTACCTGTTTTGAATGCATAAAAATGATTTCAATCATTTTTTAAATAAAATTTATTTAAAATTTGAATTTTGAATTGTCTGCCTACCATAGAATGACCCGATATACCCATTTATTTTGCTCGTGTAACAAATAAAAACTTATAACTCCTCTATAAACCAGGCGTGAAATACTCTACAACTGAGCTTAGAATAACTTTAAAATGTAAAATATGTTGAAAATTAATGCCACTAGAATATTCTGTGTCGATGTTCGAATTTGAATTTAGAATTGTCTCCCTACCACGGAATGACCCGATATACCCAATTATATTTTGCTCGTGAAGCAAATGAAAACTTATAACTTCTCTATGAACCATACGTGAAATACTCTATTACTGAGTTTAGAATAACCTTAAAATGTAAAATATGTTTAACATTAGTGCAACTAGAATTTTCTGTGTCGATGTTTAATTTACATATTCCAGTTACTAAATTTTCAGTTGCCAGTTTCAGTTACCAGTGTTCTGTTCCTTTTTAAATTTTTTTTTATTGTTTTTTTTGTTGTTGTTATTTTGTTGCTTTTATTTTCTCAAGATTTTGTTTGAATTTCTTTTCTGAATTGGTTTTATGTATTTCATATATTTTTTCCTGGACTTGTACAAAACCTTCGTTGTACTGAGAGAGCTAATTTTGGCATTTAATTTAGCCTCTCTCTCAATAGAAAAGGTTTTGTTTTATTATTGAAATAAATATCATGCTTCCGAGGTCGGTACCCCCTGAAGACATAGACTTCGAAGGCCATATTTTTATTTTTATTTCCTTCGTTTGCTTTACTGCTATATTTAGGCATAGATATATATTTACAAAATTATTTTTTTCTCGTTTTCCCAAAAGAAAAAATCAAACAATAAATTTCCTGTGCCACTTGCTAGACAAGACCGAGGAATTATCCTTACCATTTCTTAACCACTTAAATTGATTGAACTACTTATAGCATGATATTCATTTCAATTTGTTTTATTAAATATTTTTCATTGATTCCGACTTTGTAATTGATTTCAAACGTAAAAACTATTTGTAGGATGCTGATATAATTTTTCCCAGTGCTTCAAAAACTCTTCGAAATTTCTGCCGATGGCAACAAGAATTAAACGACGCTCAAGGACACCATCACGATACAGCTATACTTCTAACAAGGTACGTTTATTTTTTAATATAATATTTTTTTGGATAAGATTTTTCTAGTATTTTTCGAAATAAAAAACTGAATGCCTATTTTCATCTTGAGGTATTCACAGCACGAATAAAGGAAAGATGTTTTTCCTTTCTTAGCCCCAAGATTCGGTCCTTGACTCATAAAATTGATTATTTAATCTATTATACCAAAAGGAAGGGACTTTACCTTTAAATTAGAACTTAAAATTTTTACCTTAAAATTAGTTTTGTATACCACAACTGTGTTTATTAAAATAAAAATAGATATGAATATACAAAAATATATTTTTGTTTATTCATAGCAGCGTTTATTCTAAAAAATCATAAGTCCTATAAATATTTATTTATAACTAAGAACTAGGCAATATTTCAACTATGCGAAAATTCCTTCAAAAATTCAACTGTCATATTAGAAATCTAATTTCAGTATTTTTAGTAGAAAAATAATAATTAAGTGGAATTTAGCTTTTTTAAGAAATTATTTGACGAATCAATAGTAAATGTCAATTAAGAGGTAGGTCATGCTTATCATGTGAATGAACCATAAAGTTAGACGAATTAAAAATTTGGATGGTCAATTTTACTTATATCATTCATGATAATCAATTTCATATCAAATTGCATAGGTATTCAACATTTTCAATTGAAAAAAAAACTTAAAGTGTATTAAAACATTAGCTCTTTCGAAATTTTTTTCACTGACCAAAAAATAAATTAAATTAGAAGAATGAAACACTTAATTGGTCAAACTTGTAAATAAATTAATTATTTTACGAAATCATTCTAATTTAGTACATAAATGTTGATTAATTTATCTGCTGATAATTACCCACATTGCCTCAGTGAGCTCTATCTCAATAAATCTACAGTAGCCCTACAACCTTGTGTCCACACTAGTCTCCTCACTAGTCAATGGAGTTGTTTGCTTAAGAATAATATTGAATTAAAAAATGCAATTCAAAAGTGATTTTTAAAATAAGTAGTATGCATATCCATAAATAATATTATATATCCCAAAACATAAAACAATGAAAAAAAATAGTCTAAAGTAGCGATTAAAAAGTAAATCATAAATTCATTTTTCCAACTTAAGAATCTGAATTTATTATTTATTACTTAATTATTAAGTGTGCTGTAATGCTACTACATATAAAAATTTAAAATGATGTTTTGAATTATTATTAACTTTAATAGAATTATTCCAGTTACACACATTAGCCCTTGTGAACTCAACCTCCTCCTCCCTTCACACTAATCTAATGTAACAATTAAAAATTCTTAAACAAAAATGTTTCATTTATGTAAGTTTTAAGTAAAAATATTTAAAAATTTTCTATAATGCTGCTTTGGTGACAAATTTTAGGAAATATAATAAACATTACCAGTTTTAACTAAATAAATTAAAAGTCTCAGGTAAGTAATTTATAAAGAAGTTTAAAAAGAATTTCACTAAGTTTTTATTGATACTTTTGCTACTAATCTCTGTATTTTTAAAAATTATTTAACTTCCTCAGTACTTTTTTGAAATATTATGATTACTAAAACCCTTGTTTGGTTCTTTTTATGCATTTGTAAAAACAATTTGTTTACATATATATTACATTCAATACATATAATATAACATTCATATAACATACATACATATAACATTTAATATGTTTTCAATTTAAGCGAATAAAAGCAACTTTTAAGATTTTACTAGAATTTATACTTAAATGAATGAAATCAAAGTATCTTTTATAAAGGGTATAATAATAAGCTTGCATGGCAAAAAACAACATTAAAAAAAGAGCTCCTGCTGTAAACAATTTAAATGAATCATTATAAATCATTGTTTACAATTATTTATAGTGTCTTTATACATAAATTCATCGATAAATTCAGACACAGATTCATACATAAATTCATACTATGTTGTACACAATATCACTTCACGCAATTACTCAACTATCTCTCATTTGCTTACAAGAGCACAATTGAGATTCATATTAAAAATTGTTCTAGATGTATTTACATATGTCTGAATAGTAAAAGCGGGAAATTAATTTCGTCCAAGAAAATCATTAATTCTAGTCCTTTTTTGTTGTTCATAACATGAAATTTTCATGACGCGTAAGAATTTGCTTCCGATTATGCGTTTAATTATTTAGGTTTTATCATTTTTACGTGATTTGTTTTAAAACAGCTCTTGCACTGCTTCTCAGACACAGCCGCCTTTGAAACTTTCTGTGAATTTATAAAGATGTTGGCTGGGTCTGAAAATATTTTTGAACAAGTAAATGTATAAAAGCAAATACTCGATTCCAGAATTGTATTTTCTGCAGAATCTCTGTTAATTATGAAAATATTTAAATTTAATAGTTTTGAAACTACTTACTTCCTAATATTTTGTTTTACTCTTCATATATTCAGTTTCACTATCAATTTTTAACTCATAGAGTATAATTAAAACACATAATTCATTTCTCATTTACAAACATTGTAAATTCGTTTTATAGTTTATTATAGTGATACATTATAGTGCAGATGCCTAAATTAAATCATATTTTTAATAACAGATATTTTTAACAACAGTTCTTGATTAACAATGCTGCGCTAGTTTAAAGTATATAAGCTATAATTTAAAATCCGAATACGGTACATTTTCAATGTTTTCTTACTGATGATAACCATTTAATATGCTCTACTATAGCATTTTATAAATAACAGTAGAAATATTGTCAAATATTATTCACTGATTAAATAAAATTAGTTTGAAGCTCTTTTCATCAAATCCATTTAATTCCTGATTATAAGTAACGTGAAGTATTTTTTTAATGTTATTACTAACTACTAGTAATTACTAATGTGAAGATCGTTTTTTTTTAGATAAAAAAGGGATTTTGATGAAATGTGTAAAACTTGCAAGTGTTATATTGATAGTTTTCAGACAGTATTTTCACAATTAAACACTCAGTTACAAAAATCATTTATCTAATGTTAGTATAGTTAATTTATGAAATTAAACATGATCAAGTATTTGCGTACAGAATTTTTTTGGAAACAAATATACCTCAAATTATTTGCAGATATAATTCATTATTATTATTCTTTATCAAAAGTCATATAATATGATCGTATCAATGCAAATGCAATTTTTAAGCTTGTCCTAACTTAATCTTATTCATTTTCAGTCTGTTTAAAATTATTCAAAACCTCCAAGTGTGGCTTTGTGTTTACAATAATAAAAATAATAATAATATTAAAGTTCTCTCCTTCATCTTTTTATCTCTTTTCCATCAAAATCCTATTTTTCTTTTCCTAAGTGTCACTTTTTTCCTCGCAATTTGAAAGACAGCATTTAAAATGGCTGTTTTATTCCCATTAAAAGTCAATTATTGAACCATCAACTGAAATTCTTATGTTTATTTATGCCATATCATTTCTGAGGTATCCAGTCGAGTTTTTGTACAAAATTAACTGAGACCGTAATCCCCATGACCCGAAGTGAGGGAGGTAGCAAGGGGGTCAGCTAGGTCTTCCTCCGATATTGCTCACCTATCCTGTGATGGCCGTCACGATTATTCTGACCTTCGCATTCCAACATTGAAATCCGCCAACACCTGCAAAAGATGAAATAAAGACGGGATGATCTGTGAGGCCCTAACAATCTCACGCGTCCGACATGCAACGGGTATTCGCCCATTTAGATCCTAAAAAAGTGTCCTATAAAGGCCCCCAACAAGTGTAATACATTACTACAACCTCAAAAAGATTTTTTTTAAATGTAGCTAATCCCCTTGAAATGACAAATTAAAAGGTTTTTCTTTTATCTATGAATGAGATATTAAAGACTGGTGTTACAGTATTTTTTCAAGCATTCTGTAAACTTTTTTTGTATGATATTTATAAGTAATTGCTTTTATAAAGAATTTTTATGGGGTTGCTATAAGTTCCGGGAAGTTTCTTAACATCTGAAGAAAAAAAATTTTATCCGGAAATAAAAAACTTTCAAAAGGAATAGATTTCTTTAAAGTTTTTTAACTATTGTTTAATTTTATCTCATTAAATCTTTAAATTCAGATTCCAATCAACATCATACTTTATACTTAGCTAATCAAAAATAAAAGCGTTATAATAAAACTACCTTTATACTATTGCGCTATAGTAATTATTAAAATATTAAGAAACCAACAATAGAGTCTTTTCGTTAGCAAGATTTCAGAGGTAATCCAGCAATAAATAATTTAAACCTCCTTTTAAATTTGTTTGTCTTATTACAAATATTTTATTAACATTCTCTTGCATTTTGAAAGTGTGTAATATTTTAGAGCAAAACAAATACATTTTTACCTGAAACTAACAGACATTTTTATCTGAAGCTAGCAGGAAACACGTGCATTATAACAAAGAAATGCTAAAAAAGAAAATGCAGCATTATTGCTTGTTAGAACAAAAAAGACTTTTTTTCTTTTTCTTTAAACTAATTCTTATACTTAATTCATTATGCACAAAATCTTTGAAATCCTAGATAAATTAGATTACTGCTTTAATAATAAAAGGCATGCATATAATCATATTAGAACTCGCTAATTCTAAGAACTTCACTTTTATAAAAGTTTAAGCACGGTCCGCTTTTTTTTCTACAACTTGAGCATATTTTGTTATTAAATTATGGTAAGTTCTGCTTTTTTAATAATATATTATGCGCGCCTTTAAAATAATTATCACTTATAGCTTTCTTAAAAGCATTCCATATCTTTCAAAATATAATAAAAAATATATATATATAATTTGGCTTGAGGGGTGATTTTGGAAAANATATATATATATTTTCGGGAGTTCATAATGAGTATGACTCGAAGAACATTTACCCATTAACTTCAGAAAATAACCTTTTAATTGGAATCTTGATTTTTTATTTTTGTGAAAGAATGATTTCTACGTCTTAAAAATAATAAGAAAAATCTATTTTAAGCCAATGATTAAGAATGGAATGGATATATATATATATATATATATATATATATAAGTATATAATCGGAATAAATATATGTAAAATACACTTTAATTTCTTTATTTCTTTTTTTTAAATTAATACAATAATCAATGTATATCAGTGAAAAAAATTTTACCGATTACAGTGTTAGAATGTCAGTACTGATTGGTATAGATTTTGAATGCTCCTTCTTCTTATAAATAATGTTACACCGATAAATTACTATAGATTATTGTACAGAAAATTAAATGTTTTGTACTTTTATTCATTTATATATTTTTTTATATTTTTATCTTGATTGCTTATAACAGATGCACAAAAGCATTCTGCATACGAAAATATTAAACTATTATTAGAATCATAATGTTGTTCAAATTTACTGCAACCCCTATAAGATGCTAATATAAACTCTTATGAGATGCAATTTATTTAATCTTTCGTTGACTTGATTAATGATTCAACTTGATTTATTAATGACCCTTCTTAAATAATTGATAATTTAGTTTTTTATGATTTTTATTTTTATTTTCATATTTAAATTCCAGAAATATAAATGTTTCCTTAGCATTTAACGAAGCCAATTTTATTAATGAACTTAAATTTTGTCAAAATTCTAATGGTATTTTCTTCTTTCTTTAAGAGAAGACTTATGTCGACACTCAAAGACATGTGACACTCTTGGTAAGTGAAAGATTTTTTTATCATCAATATCTAAATTATGTGTTTTTTCTTCATTTTCGAGACTTTGCACTAAACTATTTCTTAACATTCTTTAAATTTTCTTAACTCAGTAGTTGCAGCGTTGTATAAAAAATAAAATATACTGTTAGAATTGCCAATCTAAAATTACATTAAAATAACCGGCAGCAGTCTGTCCATCAAATTAACCGTAAAATTTACGGTTAGGAACATATTTTACCATTACGGTTTTAAAAACATTTTAACCGTAAAGACTATACGGTTTTTTTAACTAATTACTATGAGCATGGTTTTAAAACCGAAATAAAATATTTATCTGGACATTAGAGCTAGGTTTTTCTTCAGGTATTGGGCATTGGAGTTAGGTTATGACCGAGCTGTGTTTTATCAAATGAACCATGGAATGTGGGTTATTTATTTAATCTACTACACTATTTGAGATAAGCTGCTCTATGGTGCTGCCATCTATGCGTGAATGTGACTGTCATATTATAATAGTCCAGTATTGCAAATAGGGAAGACACTAGAAACTGTTATATGTTAAAGGAATGCTGGTTTCATTGTGATCTCAACGCTGGGATTCAAATCCCCGTTTAGTCGGTCATGACTGATAAACTCTCTAAGCTATATATTTTGTGCCCAGCTACACAAAACTGAGTGGGTTTATTACGTAGGTCTAGTTGGTGCAGATAAAACTCTGGTTGTTTAACCATATTAGGGAAAACATTTAACAAACGGTTTTTCACACAATTAACAGTTTGAATACTATCGTATTTATGGTTATTTGACAGTTTTGTTTGAACATGGTAAAATAAAAAGGAAATAAATTGTTGTTATACCATTTTTTCCGAGAAATTTCCAAAAATTACAATAATTGAAGAATTAAGATAATTTTTGGATGAAAGGGGACATTGTAAATACCATGGCATGTTAACAATTTCAGTAAAATATCAAGTACAGTTTTATTTTCAAACTAAAGCGAAATCTAAAAAGTGGCTTTTGAAATATTGCGTAGATATGGTTTCAGCAAAATACGAAAATGTCAAAACACTTCCCAAAACCCTCTCTCCGTTTTTTTTTTTTTTTTTTTTTTTTTACTTTTAGTCTGACTCTTAGTCTGCTTTTAGTCTGCAGTAATCTAATTTTTGAAATAAATTTCAATAGACATGTAACTTCACATCAAGCTAAATATACTTTTTTTTGTATTTTCTGTCAGAAGTTAATAGTCTTAACATCCAAAACTCATTAAAAAAATTTATAACTTTTCCTTTTCCCAAATTCAACATTTAATTACAAATATAAAAACCCACAAGTTAAAATTTTTCCAAATTTTTGTTACACCCTTTTGCATTTAAAAAAAGTTGAAAAATAAGGAAATTTTTACACAAGCATTGTTTTCACTTTTTCCCACCACCTTGTAAGTAACATTCAGTACACCACAAACCCGTTCCCCTTAGGTGCTTTTGTAATATTTGAATGGCCACAAATTAAATATTTAGCTAGCTTTTATAAACAATGTAAGAGTTTTGTCCTCGTGACTAGACATTTTTCAGTAAAATAAAATTAGACTTTTTCTTGGGAAAAAATAATACTCAAGACTTTTTTCCTATAAAATGATTATTTTTTCCAAAATGATACCAGAATACTCTTCTACTCTCTTCTAGACGCTTTTTGCTTTCCTTGAGAAAAGTGGGGAGGATGAGTGGAAGAATTGAATTTTTTCTAGCCATGCAAGTGAAGCATTATTGCATATGTATTTTTCACGCGAATTGAATGAGACCGATCCTGAGACTATTTGACTAATAGTTTCGAAATAATATTAGTTTCATATACAATAAGTATATCATCCGTGGTGGCACAGGGGACAGAGCGCTCGCCTCGCAATGAGATGATCCGAGCTCGAATCCCAGCTATCACTGGTCTATACGAATTATGCACCAAGCTCGCAGCAACCACAGTGCTGAGGAAAAATATCCTCAGTGATAGACGGATCATGGGTTAGAGTCCCCTTACCGTAAGGCTGGAAGATTTTCGCAGTTTTGCTCCCCATGCAACGCAAATGAGGGTTAGTTCCATCTAAAAGGCCTCCACGAAATTTCTTCCAATACTTGAGTTTCCTTTGTCTTCTGGATTGGGTTCAAAATTACAAGGCTACCGAGTTGAACATTTGTAGTCTTAAACTCAAAATCGGATAGGCTGTTCAACGACTGTTGTAAAATAAAATAAGTACATCTCAGTACTTGTACCTATTTACGCATCTGATATTACTATCTAAGAAAATGAGACATTGTATCCTATGTATTTTTTTAGGTTGAATGAAATAAGATTATTCGCGAACAATAAGTCCCATTGTCTCGGGTTTGATCTCATTCGTAATACACATTGGATAATTAGCCTCATTTGCCTGTCTAGAAGAAATTCTATTCTCCAGATCAAATCATTCCCAACTCCGAAGAGGAAGCGTGTAGAAGAGAGTAGGGGATTTTTCAAATTTAATCAATCTTTCCGAAGAAAAACTTTTTTGTTGTTGCTATAATTACTGGACTTTTCATCAAAACCTCGCGAAATTGTGCCCACAACGAATTGATCCCACGACGAATTGTGCCCATGACGAATTGGCACTATTAGTAGTTGTGCCAAGACGAATTGTGGTATCGATGAATTGTCATTGTTACGAATTATTCCAAGACAAATTGTGCGAGACGAATTGACGCGGAATCTATGTAACCCAATTACAAGGAACAAGTGACTTCATAAGTTCGGCTTAGCGGATAAAAGAGTGGTCACTTAACTGCCGTATTAAGTGAGAATAAGCATTAAGCGATTTTTCTCACAATTAACGGTTTGAAAACCATCTTTTTATTGGTTATATGATTTTTTTCGGCTAAATGTGATAAACTAACAATTGAATAACTTGTTCCTTAACTATTTTTTTCAGAGAAATTTCTGACAGTGTGCTATTATCTTCTCCCTAATTAACGAAATGCCAAAATAAATTGTGTGTGTTGAGCTATTTAATGATTATTACTAATCAATTCATTTATATTATTACTGTTTTTTGATTACACATTGCTAATATACGAATACTCTTGGTCAAAAAGCGTTAGTATCTTTTCACAGAACAATTCAATAACTCACCTATTTAAAAATAATTACTATAAAGTATTTATGTATTATTTAAGCAAGTTTGTAAGTAGTATCTTAAAATACCTATTTTATTTTAAACAAGAAACTCACAAAAACACTAATATATATACTACAAGCTTGTGAACTATGAAAAATAAACTTGTGAATAATATTAATACTTATGCACTTCAACTTTTTATTATTAAATTTATAAAGAAGACTTGTTTGGTATTAACTTTATCAAAACAAACTAAGAGTTTGCTCTTTTCTTTCTATAATTCTTGCCGATTGCTTCAGGATATAAGCAATTTGGGAAAGTTATAAGTAGGCTCTTTCCTAAATAAGCTTAGTCTCCTCTCAATATCGAAACATTTATCGAATTAGATGCTGAAAACCAGTTCCAATTCTTTCTGACGGTTCATTTTCTACTTCAATTAGAACCTTTCTTAAGTATTGCTTCGTATTTCCTTGTTTTTTTTCTTTGAATATAAAATGAGTTATCCTTTCTTCCTATCTGCTGCGCAATACCCTTAATGTTTTGATTAAAATATATGATACCTCTTAATTCCAAAGCTTTGTTTTTGTGACCTCCACAGATTATGTTCAGTTTATATTAAGTTTGCTAATACATACAGGACCACACAAAAAGGTTAGAATTCCGCACAAAGAGATTGAAACTTAGAGCTGCTTTCATGTTTATTCCAGCTAAATTTGATTCATTATTTCTTGGTATAAAATGTTTTTCCAAATAATTATTTTATCCAACATAAAGAGAAGGAAACACATTTTTTATTATTAATTTGTCCTTGATGTTATACTGAGTGCTTCGTTATTATTTTTATAACAGCTTGTCTTATCTATAGAAAAATATTAAGGTTGTACTTTTGGATGAAAAAAAGAGTCTTTTAATTATTCTGTTGATGCATAATTGTTGCCCTATGCATTTTTGTTAGTGAAAATTGGCGTTTGTTTAAAAAAATATTCTTCGATTTTTTTTTGAAAAAAATGCTGTTTCTATTCAGTTTTGCCAACCATTACATTTACGAGAAAGGGGGATAACTATAGTGCGTTTTCGGAAGGATAGACCAAAAGTAAGCAAATAGAATGCCAGAATTTTTATCTGGTTTGCGGCTTTTGGGGATTTTCTCTGCATTTCTCGTTTTAACAGAATTATGCTAAAAATGAATTACAGAGGAGTTATAAATGCATGATTGCTTCAGAATACATCGAAACTACATTTTTTAATAAAATAAATACTATTAAACATTAAATTTCTATTAAGTATTCAAGTGGTTATAAATCACTTTCTTGCAAAATGATTAACTTTATATTATTATGCTTGCCAATAAAACTACTATGATATACGAAATAAATAAAATAATAAAGTAAAATTCAGCCATAAATTTTAACATAATCGATTAACTGACATTGCAACATATTAAAATGCAATAAAAATATTATTAGTAAATTTTATTTAAAATAACAATAATAATTTTTTTTATTAATGTAAATAATTGAGTTTTTATTAAAAAAAAAGGTAAAGCATAAAAATGTAAGATGAAGTATTTACCTTAATGACTAATTGAACTTGACGAATCGCTTTTAGAATCTGCATTAATCTTCAGAAACGAACAAATCACACTAAAAAAAGTTTACAAATATTCGCCGTCTGTTTAGCGCCAGGCCAAACAACCTAACAGCCAAACACGTGATGGACGCCTTCAAGTGACAATTTTTTTTTTATTTACAACTAGTCTATCTTTCCGTTGAACTGACTATAGTGCGGTCATTTTTGTGATTTCAACCTACTTTTCAGTGTAGATATAACTAATATCGTGTCATAAAATGCATAGATA